AGACGAGAGCATTACTTAGTAACAACCCAACAAATGGCACCGCATTACTTTCGCACCACGCGATCGGTCATTACTAACAAACGAACGACACATCTCATTCGAATCATTTACTGTAAAGATTAAAATTGCATTTTATTCCTATTTATAGAAATGATCGTGTAAAAATAAATGAAACAACACGTTTCAACGACAAAGATCCGAATGCCCGACCGGCACCAAGTATAAATCGTATGAACATTGATAAAACTTACCGAATTTACAATATTAAAAATTGATTCCGCTAAAAAAGTTAACGACGATCGTTCCCCGCCTATTGTACAAGCACAACAATAACATATCCGAGTCGGAGGGTATTTATAGATAAAATGTGATTCACCAATATTTACATTTCTACATGATATGCAAGTGCAAAGCTCACTAAATATAGTTACGTGTTATATGTTCTATTGTCATTGTCGAGACGCTTCCTTCGCCTATTATTTTAGTAGTAAAATAGTTATTCTTATAAACATCTAAATAGAATCAATGCGCTCCAGTTTAGCTGCTCGCACTTGTATATGCATTTAACAATTTTACAATAGAGTATATAAACTTATTGAACTATTACGGTTAGAATTTTTAATGACTTTGGTATTGATGAGTTCGTGAGCGCGCCGACAGGGGCCACACTATCTCATACAAGCTTACTTAACAGCAACCGGCTACCACTAACTGATACCTAACATTATGTTTGTACGTTTACAAAGAGAGTTCATTGTCATGTTACGTAAAGATGACGAAGCTTCCGTATTCGAGTAAAAGATTTCTTCTTCCTCCGACTTAGTACGGCGCGAACCTGTTGTAGCCGCTTCTGTACATCGCCGTCTGAAAACAAAATAGACGTAATGCTTACAAATTGTTCATCGAATCGTTCTTGACAATTAGTTAATAACCCAGAGCTCCCTTACCCCGTATCCCGTGACAGGCCCGATGCTATGACCCAAATAAGGGTCACCGTATTCTCTGCCGTACCTATAAGTGAATTTTATTTAATAAAAAGGGGTAGATAGATAAAATAAAAAATCAAGAAGTTGAGATTCCTTTAGATTACGTTGTATGTGAATGTTCAAACATATTGTATGATGTTAAATGAACGCATGTTACGAATGGTGGGAGGGGTGTAATGTGAATGAAGTTTAGTAGTTACATGACGTACGTGGCGGCGAGGGGCGTGAGTGAGGGCGCGGG